TTCCTGGAATTAGCCTTGCCTGCCTCTTCTCATCACTGGAATGGTAGGGTCAGAAAAGTATAAACCCACATGAAGAGTAAAGGGTTCAACATGCCACGTGGAATACTGACATCCAAGTACAGGCTGGCCTCTGGCATCGCCCAAAGGATTCCCGGTAGCTTCACTGCCACTTCACAGGTCACCCAAAGCCCCACTTAGTTTAGTTTGTTGACTGACTTTGTCTCTATATCTAGATCCGTTTCTGGGGGACACAGTGATGGCTGGTTAAGGAAACTCAAAGTTTATAATTCTAGGATTTCACAAATTATTTTTTTTTCTCTACCCTTCCTGCCTGCATTTAAGACACAATAAACATTTCACACATATAACAAAATTACATAAAAGAAGGAAAATTGATCAGATATGTCTTTCTACTTAAGCTGGGCTGTGGTCAGTATGAAAATTTAGAGTTAGAAAATGCTACACCTGATCTATGTTGCTTCAATATTGCCTTTTTATAAATCAATTCTATCCAAATCATGTACAAAATTCAACAGTATCCTTGCAGTCCTTTTCCTCAAGGTGAAATTTATACAAATTCACAAGTGTTTCTAGGGAAATCATATAGTATAAAAACGATGATATGTGGTATGCTTGGCATTTTGTACATATAAGAAATTTGAAAGGAAGTTACTTTTCCAGCAATATGACCAAAAGGTTTCATGTGCACTTTTTAAAATCATAATATATTTATACTCTCTTTTTCATGGATATGTCAGAACACTTCAGCAATGTAATTTAGTAATTATCTTTACATCCCTCTGTAAACTCTCAATTCAGGAGCTTAAAAATTGTTCAAAAATTAACACATGCAATTGATTAATTCAGACAAAAACTAAATGACTAGAGAAAAAAGATTGTAGAAATTTCTAAGATAATTTCTACTACAGCAATAAGTACTTACTATAGCAATAGTACTTACTATAGCAATTATTTGTTATTATAGCAATAAGTACTTCAAAATCATGTCTGCGTATATGTGTGTGTGAGACAGTTTACTAACACTGAGAAAGAACACAGATATACAACACATTTTAATAAGAAGAGCACACTTGAGTAACCAAATCTTATGTTCTCTGTAATATTATTTCCAAACACTTTCTTAATTTTCTGCATTGTAATTTGTCTAGAAATGTAATTTCTCCAGGAAGATTGAAATAATTTTCATTTTAAAGACTATATATGCAGTTTGTTTTGATTGAGGCACAGAAACTTGTGAAGTTTTCAGCGCACAATGGTCTTTCAATATATATCTTATGATTGAATTAGAGAAGCAATCGAGTAGAGCTTATCTTATGGGGAGAGGAAAGAAGGCCATGTTAGGGCAAGAATCTACTATCCAATGATGAGAGATGGTAAAGAGACACTGAAATCTTAGCATAAACATCACAAAAAGCTTGCTTAGTGGGGAGAAGAAGGGAAATTTGTTCCACTGAATGGTGATATAATTTGGATATGTGTCCCTGCCCAAATCTCATGTTGAATTGTAATCCCCAGTATTGGAAGTGGGGCCTGGTGGGAGGTGATTGGATCATGGAATGAATTTCTCCTGAGTGGTTTAGCACATCCTCTTAGTGATAAGTGAGCTCTTGCTCTGAGTTCACATGAGATCTGATCATTTAAAAGTGTGCGACACCTTCCGCCACCCCAGTCTCTCTTTCTCTCTCTCCTGCTTTCACCATGTGATTTGCCTCTTCCCCCTTCTTTCCACTATGATGGAAAGTTCCCCAAGGCTTCACTAGAAGCCGAGCAGATACCAGCACCATGCTTCCTGTAAAGACTGCTGAACCATGAGCCAATTAAACCTCTTTTATTCAAAAGCCACCCAGTGTAAGGTACTTCTTTATGGCAATGCAACAACAGTCTAATACAAGTGGTATTTACAGACTTTGAGCTATGACTTAATTGTTTTCTGATTTTAAGCTCCATCTTCCAAAAATTTTAGTGGCTCCTTTCTATCTCTGTTTATTTATGCCTGTCTGTTTCACTGAACATCAGTTCTCTTAATCAGTAATGCATCTTATTCACCCTGGTTCCACTACAGCCTGAGCCCAGTGACTTGCAAATAACAGACATGTAGTAAGTAATTATCATTTCGGTTTGATTAAATTTTACTAATGGTTCATATTTTCCTTGCATGTCTGGTCTCTTTTCTACTAAGAAAATCCCTAAACATTTGGGGTTTTTTCTCTTCTTTTGCTTCTCTTTTTTTTGCTAAACATTCTGATATTTTTGGTGACAATTTCAGGTTGACTAATTTGGGACATGGGAGGTGCAAAATCCTGCCAACAGAAGGTCTGATGGATGAAACAGTACTTTGGTACAGAACAAATCAGAAATTTAATTTCATTTTGAGCTGGTGGAAGCTTTCAGTTTATAGCCTCTGGCTCCTCTCCTCAGTGTTTCGTAGAGAAAACCTCTCCCTGTCTTTCATCTTCTGAAGAGGTCTTTTTCTTTGGCTACAGGTGGGATTTTTTTTGACAAATAATTGTGTCTGTCTGCTGTCTACTGCGAACTTCTACTAGGAAGCCTTTGCAAACTCTACCCTCTTCAGAAGACTCACCATGGGGTGCTTCTCTTGATTTGAATAATTTATTGGTCTGTCTCTCTTCTTCTCATCCTCTTGTGAGGGACTTGGAGGAGCAGATCTCAGTTCTATAGCTAAACCAACTTTAATTCAGGCAGACCTTCAAGAGTTACACAACACAATTCCAGCAGTTTCAAGGCTGTGGAGACTCAGAGGTTCCAGTTAACTGAACACCTGAGGGTATCGGAGAGAGACCCTCAAAGGTAGCAGCAGTCTCTGAGCTGATGGGTATTTTAATATGTCTGCTTGTTTATACCTTACAGAGTTGACTCCTGTAGTTCTCATTTTCAGTTAAGTTTAGTCATTGACATTGAAGAGTTAAGAGGATGAATCAGAAAGAAAGAAATAAAAGAGACTAAATATGAGGAGATAAAGATTGGGTGCAGTGGTAGCAAATTTCCCAACATTAATCACATATTTCTTTAAATCCATTTTTGGTTGAACCTGAATAGTGTAGACTAAGTCTAAGAATGATCTTAATGAAAATAGAACTTTTTGTCCCAGAGGTTACCACCATCCTGAAGTCATGTTTTACTGTGGCTCTGAACAAATGGAGAACCCCTACCCAGAGAAAGTAAAATAAAAGTAGACAGGACTTAACCTTGTGTAATTCTATGGATTCTTAGTTTAATCTTCCATCTCAGCATAAGGCAAAACAATACTTTCTTAAAGAGCTCTCTTTATTTGCT